TAACGTAGATGATCTGACGTTGAGAGGCGCACTTTTACTCTCATGGCGTATGTGTTAATTTCCTTGTCAAGATCGTCCAGTAAAGCAATGGCCTGCACCACCATTGTGTCAACCTTGTCCGGGGAGAATTTGAGTTTGAATCTGGGGGTCAGAAAAACGCTTAGTTCCAAAGGTGTTCGGGAGGTCGTTAAAAATCGGCTGACCGTGAAAGTGAGTGACTGAGACCCAAGCTCATCGTCGCAAGATCTTTGGGGTCCAAGCCTTGAAGGAGGGCCGATATTTGGTTGCGAATACCTCGCCAGAGCTCGGTCTGCTCTTCAGTTGTAGCACTAACGTTAATGCTGAGCTTCTTGGATATTGACCGTGCTGAAAAGGCAATGAGGTCAAACACTGCTGGAAAAGACTGAGGAACTCACAAAGATGAGGATCGACCACAAGTAGCGACTCCTTTCCCTTTCCCTTTCCAAGAACCTCGTCCGTCAAGAATTGTTTAAGGCCTTTGCCCAGTTTTCCATTTTGAAGTGCGGTAACATCTTCCACAGCTGTCGCAGTCGATGTGAAACGATGCAGAGCCTTGAGCTTCAATCTTCAGATATCGGGACAATATTTTATTAGCTTTGGCCAGGATGTGAACATGGTTCAAGAACGCACAGTTTGCTCGCCTGCTCCGGTGTTTGAAACTCCTTCCATAGATCACCACTTCCAATTTTTGCCTCATCCGATACCTTGAACAGGCAGTAGCCCATCGCCGTCTCGTAGAGGACGAGCATTTTTGTAGAAAGAGAGGGGAAGGGGGAGAAAGATGGGCTGCACGACACGAACGATGACCAGCTCTAAAGTTTTGTGATGGGTGAAATTTATTTCGACTTCCCACGGCCCGTGAGAATGTGTGGCCATTTGAAGACATCTCTCCCTCAAAATGATGACAAGATACATATGTACATACATGTATGTATGCAAGAATAGAATGAAATTAGATATTATTCAAGGGCTAGAGCAATTCTAAATGATATTGCACTGACACACTTGCAACATGCCAGGCTAAAGTACGCCACACATAATACAGGTACTAAGTCGGACGACTAGCGACCGGGCACAACCGTTGGTATAGGTCTCATCAAGCAACATACAAGTTCCACCGCGAGCATGGCAGCAACTGACGACGATCATTCCCCAACCTCATAAAGACTCCTAAGTTGCACTAGTATTGCGATGATCATCAAGAACGCTTGGGAGTATGATGCAAGTAACCTCGTCGGACAGACTCAACACCGCCTAGACGCCTGAGACATCCATCATCGGTGAATATCGTATCGCGAGTACGAAAAGATCGCGAAGCATAACAGTGTTGTAATAAGAATACGACCGTCGAATTGAGCATGAATCGCGATACGGGAATCGTTGAGAGGGTGAAGCTTTCGCAAACTATAACAGCAGTCAGGCATAATGGATGTTTTTGGCGCGCAAGCATGAATTTTAGTGTGCAGTGGTGTACATGTGCATATGCATATCAAGCCTAAGTGTTTCTCTAATCCGAAGCTGCGGTCGCCCGGGCTGTGAAGGAATATAAGTGAACAGAAATCGAGCAGGGTGAGGGAGCACTCACTGTAGATCAACTGGTTGGAGGAATGCACGATCCTCTTGATGTGTCCATCCCTCTCCAAATGCTTGATAGCGACGCGGGCAAGGCTGCCACCGATTTTTAGCCGCTCAATGAGGATGCTCTGGCTGATGAACTTGAAGGTGGGGACCTCCTTGAAGATGCGGTCGAAGGTGGCCTTATCGAGAGAGACGGCGTGGGCTGCCTTGTCCTTGACCTTTCCCTTCGACCACTTCTTCTTCTTAGCGGACTTTCCGCCGCTCGATGACGACGGTGCTTGGGCTTTAGCTTTGGCCTGTAGAAGACAAGATCAGTGGTGGGCCCTTGAACAGCATCCACTGCGTGAAAGTTGCATCCAGCCCAAAACTGCTCGTAATTCCATCGTTCCTTGTCCAACGGCAACGACAGCATCCAAAGAATCGTCCGGCATAACGCAGATACGAAAATTAACTCACCATTGTCTTGAGGGACCGTCGATATGGGGAGCACTAAGGTCTGACAGAGTTTTCCGATCTGACGATGCGTGCCCTGTTTGGCTGTATTATGTAATGTGTGGCGGTGCAGCCCACTTGCAACGTTTTGCACTTAAGTTTAACATTCCTGCGATACGAATGACGCAAAGATTCTGGTGCATGCATACTTTAGGAGGTCTTTACCTGTTCTGAATGAACGTGGCTTTCATCAATCCCGTACATGGCCTTTCTTTGTGTAATCGAACTCCATCCTTCAACTCATCCGACATCCGACATGCGACCCCTTGAACTCGAGTAATTCACCGTCTTATCAAACTACATCGATGAAGCAAGACATCTCGTTTGAGCTCTCTGGATATAAGATTCAAAGTCGTCGGGGCACGCCTCACAAGTGGGTACTCCCACTATCGCTAAGCACGGGGTATCGACTGTGAGCAGAGATTTCCAAACGAAGACTAGAAATACTTCAGGACCCGGTGCTTCCTTTTACCAGTATCCCTACATCTTGCAGAATTTTAGTCATAACTCGTGACTGCTTTCCAATCCGGTTTTGTGTGACACTGCCTCCCCACAGATGGATGCGCCACCCCCTCTTTGTGGAGCCCCCCCCTGTGGTCGTTTTTTGTGGCAGTGGTTAGCCCCAGACCCATACCACTCCGACGATGACGAAATTACGCCACTCTATTGTCTATAAAAGCCGCGCCAAAAGGCGACACAATGCTTCAAAGCTTTGCTATACACCACCCATCATCATTACCAACAAATCACAATGTCTCGTATCTTAAACCACATCCATAACTTTTTCGCTAGGAGAGCGGTAGCCAAGAGAGAGGTATTACTTTTTGTTATGGTTTGCGTTCCCCATCTTACCACTCATGAGTAGGCAAGGGTCGCTCTATTAGATGACAGCCCTACTCTTCCATTGGGGGACTCGATGATAGTCAACCCAGTAAGTACACTTCCACTACACAAACCTGAACTTCGTTTAACACTCTTTCTGTCAGCACTACAGGGGTTTCACCCCATATCACGGGCCCGAAGTGGATGACCCCTCTAATAATGGAAAGCAATTCATCTACATAAGATGTCATTTGACGCAGACATCCTCGCAGCGCATTCCTGGCGCCAAATCTTCTCGGAAAAAGTCAAAATCAGGGCAATTCACTTTCGAGGAAGTCGAAGAGTATGTGTGTAGTCGTCATCTTCTACATACCATACATTAGTTGTTGTTGTTTTTTTAAAAAAAGTGGATAATATGAAAGCACATTCTGATTCTTTCCCCCATACTGATCGCATCTGTGGTAAAGTGAGTTTCTAGATTTTACAAAGATAAGATTGAGATTACTGGACTGCCGTCACCGTAGTACATTGCCGCGCGTCCTTATCCCTTGGCCAAACATCTTCCTGGCCTCTCCATTCATAGCGCTCCTTAGTGCGCTCTTTGTACTTCTCTTCCTGTGTATCAGATGAATATGAACCTAAAACCTAAGATCACTTTCTATTGTCCGACTTTCAAGCCAGCGACGCTTGCTACTTATGAATACTTTTCTAGCATTGACACACACTCTCTGCTTACATGGTGACATATCAACTAAAGTGGAATTCATGCAGACAATTCCAGTGGATTCAATGCTTATTATAAATTATAAATGCTCCATCTCGAAGCCTCTTCTGTCATTCACCTTTTACAAGCAGGGATTCTTGCAAAACTTTGAGCTGTGTATTCCGTCATTTCGACATACACTGCGCCACCCCCTTTTATTACGGAACCAAATCACATGCGATGCGACGATGACGACATTGCGCCACTTGTCCCGAATCTATAAAAACCCCTGTTAGGAGCAAAAAAGTCAAGTATACGCACACAGACATCGACCACAGATCATAACCCATGACTCAAAATATCAGGTATCTCATCCGCCATCATGTCATTGACAGAGTGGCTGTTAAAAACAAAAGTAAGCCCCTCTTTTGCCGTTGCTACATACCGTCTTCCTTCTCACAATCGTTGATCAGGCAAAGACAGCGAGGCTGAGCAGCAGTCCCCTCTCAAGGTACGGAGATGATGTAGTTGTCAATCCAGTACGTTTTATTAAAAGTAAATGTCGCTCGAATCTAATTACATTAACCCTTTATCATTACTGTGGCCCAAACTCATACATAGGTCCAGAGATGTCAGACCCTATGTCCCGAAGACGGGAGATGGGCTTCATCATCGATCCCTTTAAACACCTATCCTCTCAGGACATTCCTGGTGCTAGTGACGAGTCTCGAAAAACACGGTGGGTACCTAAGCCTAGCGAATTCACATATGAGGAGATTTATTCATTCATGTGGACTGGAAATATCACCCCTAATAGGCCCTGAGTCACAAATGAATGAAAACATATATATATTCGATTCTATGGATACATACACATCACCAGCAGGTGGAAAAAACAGACCACATAACTGAAAACTGTCGAAGGAAAAAGGAAGTTCCGACTTGTCTGCAGGTGACCTTGATATGACTTCAGCTCCATTTTCGTATCCGTGACCGTGGAGGGCAGGAGGGCATACTGGATCTTGGGGAAGAGGTTGTGGTAGTATGGAGGAAAGAGTTGGGCAGGCGTGGGTTAAGGGAGGGTCTTTATATGCAGATGCTCGAATCGGGCTTGGAAGACGCGTTATAGACGTGCGTGTTTCCTACGTCTGAAGAGTGAGGGAGAGAACAGAGTGGACATTGCGGTGGTGATTGCAGAGATGGATACCAGCAATGGTGACGTAGGGGCCAGATCACCAGCGGGAACCGAGTCATGGTTGCACGACACGTTGGTGATCCACGGACAGAGACAGGCATGCGATTGGTGGTGAAGTTGGCAGAAATTGGAGTGACTTCTAGTGACACGACTGAAATACGACGTGTTAGTGAACGGCAACAAAACAAATCCGACCTGCCTGGCTCGAACAGGCGACATTGAGATAATACGTAGCCGTTACAGTCTCACGCTCTTCCAGCTGAGCTAAGGTCGGTTATAGATCACGCAACCTTAGTTTTATGTGAGCACAATGCCTATCTTCATCATACCAGATTCCAGAAAACATCGACATTCATGACAGGCATGATGAGGGATGGTCTACCTCTCCCATGGTATTGACCTCCTCCAGGTGTTTCGCAGAATCAATTATTGGGGTACTTCTCATCGAAAACGACGAGGGCGGAAGATGGTTCAAGGACACATACGATAAAGGAACACAGAACGGGAGCTAGTTATCGTACGTTGCAATCGTTAATGGACATGAAGCGAGCTTTGAGCTTTCTAGTCCTTTGTTAGTCGTTCAGAATGAAGCAATTGCCTTTCAATTTCTTGTCCTTGAAGCGAATGAGAAAGGAATGATTTTCTCACGAGCCACAACATTTCCGAATTCGACACGTCGATTTGAACGTCATCTAGACTGTTGACGATGCTCCCATGGCTTCTCCTCTTGCCCATCTCTATACCCACCGTCGCGGCCGTTGAAAAGACCTTTGGTGTCAGCCCCCAGCTCGTGTCAAAATATGTGTCTTCATCGTCTGGAACTTGGAAGTGTCTAGATGGTTCCAAGGAGATTCCATGGTCGTTCGTTAATGACGACTCTTGTGACTGCCCTGACGGCAGCGATGAGCCAGGTATCATGACTCCTGACTTTGTGAAGAATGGCCGTTGAGATGTCATATGATCTACAGGGACGGGCGCATGCCCGAACAGTGTATTCTACTGCCGAAACAAAGGTCATATTGGAGCCTCTATCCCTAGCTCAAGAGTCAACGACGGCTTGTGTGGTGCGTGCACTTTTCATAAACCGGGATTCTAGTATTCAATCTGTATAAAGAGCCGGAGTGTTGTGATGGATCGGACGAGCGGCCGGGAGTGTGCAAGAATATCTGCACAGAGACGGGCGAGGTTCACCGAAAGAGACGCGACGAAGAACGCAAACTTAGGAAGACTGTAAGTTGCTAATCTCTTTGGCATTCTTTGTTTGCTTACATGGTCTCGTAGGGCTCTAAAATCCGCTCGACATACATCCAATTTGCCCACAAGGAGAAACTACGTCTCGAAGCCCTCATAGACTCTGCGGCGAAAGATATTGTAGTCAGGGAGAAGGAAGTCGCGCGCCTTAGAGGTATGCAACCATTAGTTTTCGTCCGCCGTGTACTGATCCGTCTTGCAGAGATTGCCGACCGCACAGAATCTATATCCCAAGCGGCCCTCGAGCACAAACAACAGTCACGTACGTACATTCTCCAACTTCGCAATACTAAACCTCATGTTATCTCTAGCACTCTACCAGGCGCTCTTGGACCACTCCGACGCGCTTGCCGCCCTCCAGCGCGAGCACAAGAAACATCTTGAGAGAGAGAAAGCGCTTGGAGACATCCTCCATACCCTGCGTTCCGGATACAACCCAAACTACCAAGACATGGCTGTCCTTGAAGCCGTTCGAGGATGGGAAGAGCTTTCTGGCTTGCCCCACATCGGCGAGGCGGAGGGCGGTCAGGCCGAGGACGACGTGCCAGCTAAGGAAGAGGAAGTGGCAGCCGCTGACGATGATGATGGTAACCCATGGACGCCGGAACGCCTGACGAACGAGCTGGATGCATTGATAAATGGGGACTATGTGTCCTTGTTGTTGGAGCATGATGAGCACGTCCGCGCCCCTCGTGAAGACTCAATTTGTACGTGGCCCTCCATCGTATTTTGGCGTACTGACCGGCGGTACAGTGTTTGATTTGTCTTCATACCTTCCAGATTCGTTCATTCCTCAGTATGAAGAGATCAAAGACACACTTGTGTCCTGGTTGACGAAGATAGGCATCGTGCATGGTGGCGATACTGCGTCAGGTATGTCGAGTATTGCATGTCTCTGCACAACGCCCTTGACTGATGCACATTCAGCCGACTCCTCGCGTGCCCGTCAGAACTTGGTGGATGGGGAGAACGCGCTCAAGTCTGCCGTTGAGGAGAGGAAGCAAGCAGAGGATGACCTTGCGGAGGTTTTCAACATCCACGGGTTCGGTCAGGAAGGCGAATGGAAGAAACTCGACAACCATTGCTTGAGAACCGACCAGGGAGAGTACGTATGGAGGTGCTCTGCCAATGCCAAATCTGATTGTCTACAGCTACACCTACGAACTCTGCCTCTTCCAAGAGGCGAAACAGATACCCAAGAACGGTGGATCGACGTTCAGCTTGGGGTCAGTGCTTTCACTTTTCTCCGACCCAAAGCTGATGAGGTTTATCAGAACCTTCGATTCATGGAACCCGGCTGAGGGCATCGAACCCGGCACCCCCGAGTACTACAAGAAGCAAGTGTACAAGCACGGCACACGTTGCTGGAACGGACCAGAGCGCAACGTCATCGTAAGCACTTTCGACGAGTGGTTCTTCGCTGTCCCTGACGCAATTTATGTCTAGCTTCTGCTCTCTTGTGGCCTGGAGAACGCGCTGCTGTCAGTCGTCGAACTGGAAAAGTGCGAATACCAATTCACTGGTACAACGCCTGCTCTTTGCCTACCTATGGATGCGGAAAATGACACGAGGGACGAGCTTTGAGCATGTACGATCCGGCGAATAGAAGAAATGTATTTAGGGGCGAAAGATGGGCTATATATTATTGATGAAAACCTGCCTGGTTTGAGCCTGGAATTCATTACTCTCAAGAAAGGTACTTATTTCTCTTTCGCCTTCTTATCATCAAGTGGTAGCAGAAGTTCTTTACTTATGCTGCCACTGTAAGCGCCGCTGTCGGTGATGTCAGGCTTGGAAGTTCGGGAGCAATTCCTTTGATTTTGAAATACAACCATCATCTACTGTGGCTCCTCTATCCCTCCGTTGTTTGCAAGAAAAAGAACAGCTAGTATCTTTGCTTTGAAAGGCACTCGATGTTTAGGTTCATGGTAAATTGGAGACCGGGAGCACCTCTTCTCCGCGATTTCACATGACTCTTTATTCGGTTCAGCCGCTGCCCACCGCCCAACACAGTACACTGCTTGTAGCATCTCGTTATCCCTGGCTCTATAGAGAACATTTATATAATTTCGTAAGTTCTCTCGTTAGGCATGTCTTAAACGAAGCTATCCTAATTATAGCCGACCCACTCACTAGGTCCTGAATTTATGACCGAAATTCCGCAGTGACCCCTTATACCCTGCGACCACGTTAGAACGACGATAAAACAGCAAAGCCTTGAATTTCTGAAAGAATGAACTCCTTATCTGCCGATGACTACGCTTCTTTCCCATTAACACTCTTCGACCAGCTATTCGAAAGAACTACGTTCTTGACGGGATGGCTCGTGGAAGGTACCATCGACACGGATGCACTTGCGACAGCCTTGGCAGGCGTCACGAAGAAATGGCGGATGCTGTCGGGTCGGCTGGAGTCTTTACAGGATGAGGACAACGTACGTTTTCTGCTGTTTCTGTCGTCTGTCAATGTCACCACAATGTCAAGGTAGGCTGATAAAATGGGTACTTTTAGGTCACACAGTGGCGTATTAGGATTCCATTGGGAGAAATACCTGAAGACTACAAAACGTTCTCACTCACAACATCGACCAGCGAATTTCCTCTATCACACTATGTGAATTCACCGTTACCGCTGGTTTCGCGCTCGCTTCCACATGCACTCTTCATCCACCCTTCCACACCGCGGCAGTATTCTCTCTGGGAGTCAGCTAGCCACCCATTGACCTGCTGGCATATAACACACCTTCCAGCTGATGCTTCAGGAAAACAACACACTTGTATCGGTTTTGCGCGCTCTCACGGAATATTTGACGGCGTGGGCGCTGCTGCCGTCATGCG